TTTTTTTTTTCAAAGGATGGGGATTTGTTCGAGGACGCATGGACGAGGAGTTGGCTATCAGTCGAAACTTAAGAGGTGGGGTCCATACGAAGAAGTTTGGACACGAGATTGAGGTTTGTTGCTGACGTTGACCGAACGAACATTGACATTTTGGCCACTCGTCACCTGCCATGTGCCCTATACAAACCACCAGATGGCCAGTATCCAGTTGTCTTCTTTTGCTCATGTGGATTACCACACGCTTCAAATTATTATTCTTTTCTTCAAAATCGTGATGTTTGAGCTCCTTTAAAAAAAAAATGGAAAAAAAAATATATTTTAAAATAGCAATTTTTTTGAAGAATGTATAGTTAAAAAATAAGAAAACTTTACGTATAATATTATTTTATAAAAAATGTGTGGCTAAAAGTAAGATAGAAAAATGTATTCAAAAAATAATGAAATCCAAACAACGGCTAATCATCGTATGAACAATTGGGAATTTAAGTGTATAATCATCGTATGAAAAATTGGGAATTGAAGTGTATCACCTAAAGTAACATGTGTATACTTCGAATGGGTCTTTTGAGATGTCAAGGACATAATACAATTGATGTCGAAGACAGATCAACTAGTTTGAGTGTCTTCTATGTTTTATTTTCTTGAATAATCGAATTTAGGAAATTGCTCTACTCAATATAACTTCGCACTTCCTTTTGCGGGTTAGTTCTTCTTGTTGAATTTCAAATGAGACATTTTTACACAATCAACTATTATAAAAATATAGCCCATGTTTGAGTCACATTCTAAGAAAAAAATTTATTATTCATGTCAAATCAATGGAAAATATGTGGTTAAAAAATAAGATTTTTTTTAGATTTGCGTATAATATTATTTTATTAAAGAATATGTGATTAAAATAATATCAAATTACTGTTAAAAAATATATATTTTTTAAAAATAATGTAGCTCAAACAATTCCATAATATAAAATATTCGTCGTATCATTTGTTCATAAAATTTGAATACTTCACAATGTCAAATGGGTCCAAACTAAATTTGACCCACTACTCTGAGCCCTAATCCAGTTTGCCAGGATGGCCCAATGAAAGTTCATTAAAAATTTGAAAGATTTGACCCATAAACAAATAGGGGAAAAAATATTAATTTTAAATAATACCTTTTTCTGTTTTCAGTTTTCAATACATCATCACCAGTTCTCCCCTCGTTTTCCTACCATATAAAAAGGAGAATGTGAAATTACTATAAAAAACAACAGTGACTTAATTCATTTTGTCTCACTGTAACTTTTTTATTTTATTTTATTTTTTAAGTGAGGGAGCAAAACAATGTCATTTGCATTGCTTGATATATTTTATTATACAGCAAGAAAATACTGCAACACGCAATTTTCATACCTCCCACCACTCCGTGCTCACTCTTATATAGATATATATACTAGGGATATTAACAAAAAATCACTTTTATACAAAAAATTAAAAAATAAAGATATTAAAAAACATAAAATATTTTACAAAAAGTTACTTGTAAGTAAAAAATTTGAAGAGAAAATAACTAAAAAGAATTTAAAATTGAAAAAAAATTATATATAATGTAAACTAAACAATGCAAATAAAAAAAAAACAACAAAAAATTAATTTCTCCATGAGGCTTTTACGGAACAAAAGCCTCCGTGCATGGAGACTAAGAAAAAAATATAGATATATTTTCTCAAAGCCTCCGTGCATGGAGACAAGTGTTTCCTATTTTTTATTTTATTATTATTATTATTTTTTTTTTTACTTTATAAATATTTGTTTTTTTTATCAATTTAAATTTTTTTTTATTTTTTTCTCTTTTAAATAAAATTAATTTTTCAGTTTTAACAATATAATATTTATATTTTTATATTTAATTTTTGTAAGTTTGTTTTATTTTGTTCTTATTGTATTTTTTTTTTGGAAATTGTTTTAAATTTCTTTTTTCTTCATATTATAAATATTTTTTTCGATTTAAAATTCATTTTATTTCTTTTAAATCGACAGTGTTTTGTTCCATTTTGTCTCAATGCGAAAATCAGGTATTATTTCTTCTCTTCTCTCTTCTTTCTGTGTAGTTCCTATCAAGAATCCATGAAAAAAAAGTCTAAACAACATTCGAATATAAATTACATTTTTCAATTCTTAAATTTCTTGACAAGAATTGACGCAACCAAAGAGAATTAATTGATAGTTAAAAGCACGATAACCATGTAGAATTTAAAGAATCCAACGAGATTCTCATTTTCAAATAATAATGGAAGAGCAGATTGTTTTATAATTGAGAGTCTGAGAATATAATTTTTTTCTTGTATTATCATTTTGCCCTTGGTTTTTGTTCATTGGGAAATTTTCAATAAATTTGGCTAAAATTTCGTAAAAAACGAACAACCTTAAAATTTCTCTAAAAACCAAAAAATTGGAGTTGTTATTAGCTTAAAGAAAAGAGAAAAAAATTAAAAAAAAAGGAGAAAAAAGAAAAAGATTCGAACAAAGTACATGGATTGCACTCTTCGTGGAGAGTGCACACATGAACCATTAAATTTAACATCACAGGGATCAATTATCAAAAGACAGTACCAATGCAACATTAAATTTTTGATCAATTATATTAACAAAAGATAGCACCTATGCATTGTTTTTATTTTCCTGGTCGTATTGGTTTTATTTTTGGCCTTGTTAGTTTAAACACCAACATTGTTTGGTCTGATTTCAATTCAATAGGTTTTTTTGAAATTCTCCAATCGATGGAGAATTTTACAGTTTTGATACACCGTGGATTGTTAACTTGTCATTTAGATGGATTGTACTTTTCATGGGTTCTTCGGTTGGAGAATCTTTTCAAGGAGTTTTCGTATTTTTGTAAGGTTTTATGGTTTTTCTTTTCTAGAATGTCGAGATGAGGATAAAAAATACAAATAACGAGGGGGCAAAATTCCTACATTTTATTTTTGTATGTATTTCAATGAATTTCGAATATGATTATGAAATTCTTACGAGGTCTCTTTAGTTAATCACTTAAATGTAGAAACCAACTCTTTTAATCAATTTTATACAAATATTTTATTGCAACTTTCCTAATTTTTCTCCTTTATAGAAACACTTTTTAATTATTGATGTCAATCTCTCATCAGCCAAATTGTTTACATTATAAATAATTTTTTTTCGAATTATAATTCTTTTTAATTCCTTTATTGTTATGATAAAACTTAATTTTTCAATTTTAACTAAATAATATTTATATATTCTTTATTTAATTTTCATAACTTTCTTTTATTTTGTTTTTATTATATATTTTTTGAAAATTGTTTTCAAATTTCTTTTTTTCATCATATTATAAATATTTTTTTTGATTATTCTTATTAATTCATTTTGTTTTATGATAAAATGTCATTTTTTTATTTTTAATAATTGATATTTATTTTTAATTGTAATCATTTCAATTTAATTAAAAAAACTTTACAAT